TGTCTCGCAATGAACACTGTAGCCCCCCCCCTAAAAAAAAAAGATTTCCCCTGAATCAAGGAGCAGCCACAAACATGTCTGTCCACAGCACAGAGCCAACAACTTACATCTACTATCATCAAGTATCATCTAGTATCATCAAGTATCATCTACTATCATCAAGTATCATCTAGCTCACATTATCATCAAACCAAGGGAGAGAGAGAGAGAGAGAGAGAGAGAAAAGACAAAAAAGCTCCAAACATGAGAAAAAAAAAAAATCAAACAAAGCAAAAAACCAAAGCCTTACTGCAATAATCCGAGGCTGTAAATGTTAGAAAAATATAGAAATGTAAAACGTTTCTCATGGCACTGGTTGAGTTGAGATTGCTTCAGTCTCTAAGCATATCTAGACAGAGATGGGTAGTCCAAGCTACATAGGCATGTACACACACACACCCACACACACTAGTGACACTGGTGAACACACAAGCAAGACAGACAGGTAGACAAACAAATATGGACCAGTGAAGACTCCAATACACACAAAACAGAGAAACTGACACACAGACAGACAGACAAACACACAAAAGACACACACACACATACATACAAAAACAGGTACACACATACATACAAAAACAGGTACACACACACACAACAAACACACACACACACACACACACACACTAACACACAACAAACAAACAAACACACACACACACACACACACTAACACACAACAAACAAACAAACACATACACACACACACACAAAACAAACAAACACACACAACAAACAAACAAACACACACTCACACAACAAACAAACACACACAACAAACAAACAAACACAACTCACACAACAAACAAACACACACAACAAACAAACACACACAACAAACAAACAAACACACACTCACACAAAACAAACATACACACACAACAAACAAACACACACAACAAACAAACAAACACACAGTCACACACAAACACACACAAACATGTACAAACACACTCACCCACACACACACATACTCACACACACACACACTGATACACACCCAACACACACACACACCCGCACCCAACACACACACACACACCCACACCCACACCCACACACACAGACATACACACCCACCCACACACACACACACACTCATACACACCCAACACACACACACACACATACAGACATACACACCCACCCACACCCACCCACACACTCATACACACCCAACACACACACACACATACAGACGCGATACACAGAGGGTACTCTCTCCCCTTGAGACAGGCCGGGTCAAAGTTCATCGACCACGACCCCCTGACCTCACAACGGGCCAACAGAGCCAGCCAGTCACATACAAGCTACGTCACACACGTCACATACAAGCTACGTCACACACGTCACATACAAGCTACGTCACACACGTCACATACAAGCTACGTCACACACGTCACATACAAG